TCTCCCAGCACCATTTGTTAAAGAGACTGTCTTTTTTCCATTGGATGTTCTTTCCTGCTTTGTCAAAGATGAGTTGGCCATACATTTGTGGGTCTAGTTCTGGGGTTTCTATTCTATTCCATTGGTCTATGTGTCTGTTTTTGTGCCATAAATTAAAGATATTAAAACCAGTTTTGCCTGTTTCTTTTTACTTTAAAATTTTTTAAATGTTTACTTATTTTTGAGAGAGAGAATGCAAGTGGGGAGAGAGAGAGACAAAGACACAGAATCTGATGCAGGCTTCAGGCTCTAGGCTGTCAGTACAAAGCCCAATGTGGGGCTCAAACTCACGAACTGTGAGATAATGACCTGAGCTGAAGTCAGACACTTAACCGACTGAGCCACTCAGGCACCCCTCTTTTTACTTTTTTAATGTGACTACTAGAAAATTAAAAATCACATATATGGCCCATGTTATATTTCTATTCAGTATTCAGAGTGTATAAGATATGACACCTCTTCTCTCAGAGTCTGTAGCAAGAAAGTAGATGGTGTGGTAAGTGCCAGATAGGAGCTCATGCATAGGAGAGCCCTGAGTGAGTTTGAGGGCCTGCAGAAGGTGACCTTTAAAGTGGCTGCAGTACATTGTTTTCTCTTCCTTTTTACCTACTTTTGAAGACTCTACATCTGCTTTTTGGACCAAAGGAAATAAAAGTCAAAAGCTACTTAAAAAGTGTTTGGGAATCTTTTTTCTAGTGGTGTTGGTTCTCAGTCTAATGAAACAAGTCAAGGTTGAAGCAGGATGCCTGAGTCTGCACAGAGACCACTGCTCAGCCCTCCCCCAGATGTGACTTAGGCAACGAAATGGATGCTGGTGTCGTTTGTGAAGTATGAACATAGGTCAGCTTGAGATCTGTGGAGTTCAAGGTGTTTGGGGGACATCTGGATGGGGAGGAACAGTAGCAGTTGGTTGAATGGAACCTAGAGTGCAAGAAAAATCTGAGCTGGCAGCATAGACCGAAGTTAGGTGAAGCCATAGGTAACGTAAGAGATATCAGGAAGTGAGTAAAGTGAGGTGTGGACAAATCTCTGAAGAACAGGGAAGGTTGGGGAAGGGAAATAAAGCTTATTGAAAAAGAATGGTCAGAGAAGGAAGAGTTTAACAGGATGGTGTGCTTTCAAGAAGCAGGCAAGTTAGGGTGCCTGGGTGGCTCAGTCGGTTAAGCATCTGACTCTTGATCTTGGCTTAGGTCATGATCTCATGGTTCATGGGTTCGAACCCTGAGTTGGGCTCTGTGCTGAAAGCACTGAACCTGCTTGGGATTCTCTCTCTCCCTCTCTTTCTGCCCCCCCCCCCCCAAATAAATAAATAAACATTAAAAAAAAAAGGCAAGTTTTAGATGAGGTCAGATGTAGTTGAGAGATAAAAATAAAGACTGAGAAATGTTCATTATCTATAATAATGGAAAGTTATTGGGAAGAAAGTGGATTCCCTGGAAGGATTGGGTTAGGTGGCAAAACCACATTGCGGGATGTTGAGGAATTAACATGAGCTAAAAAATTGGAGACAATAAAGGTTATTGTCTAGAAGTGTAAGAGGTGGAGGTGGGGAGGCTTGTGGTAGCTAGGGGGATGTATTTATATTTAGCATATGACAATTGTGTGTGTGTGTGTGTGTATGTGTGTGTATGTGTCTTGCTTGTTTCATAAATCCATTATGCAACTGTGTATCTGTATCTTTACATACTTGGAATCCAGTGTAGCATCCTTTGTAAGCTAACTATTCAATAACAGTTGTTGGTCATGATTGTAATATATTAATACCTCTTTTTCAACAAGATACTTTTGTCGCCATCATTTCCAAATTCTCTAAACATTAGATCCGCATAAGACCTTGATATTATCTGAGTTTAAATGCACTAAGGCCCCTGGTCGTGGTTTAATGGAAAGCACATGGGCTTTGCAGTCCACTAAACTATGATTCACATCTAGATTCTGACTTGTCAGCCACGTGGCCTTGAAGAAGTTAATGGTCACTTCGGGCCTGTTTTCCCTCATCTGCGAAATGAGGATAATAAGACCTACACTTATAGGGCTGTTGTGGGATTGATTCATTGAGAAAACACGTAAACTGTTTTGTATGGTACCTCATATGAAGTAGGCACTCAGTAAATGCCCTGTAGAAAAACAGCAGCTTCACGTGTGGCACATGCCAGCACCATAGTTTTTGTAATTTGATTTCAGGTAGTGTGTGTGATACAGTGTGAAAAATTGGCCTTTGAATAAAACATGTTTCTTTTCTTGCTCCCTCCTCCCCTTTCTGTTCCAGGTCCTGAGGGAATCTAACAAATTAGCAGAAATGGAAGAACCACCCTTGCTTCCAGGAGAAAATATTAAAGACATGGGTCTGTAATGGTATTTTTTGTTGAATTTCCTTCTTCTTTCTGAGGATACAGACTGTTCAATACTCTCCGTGTACAGAGAGCAGCCTCACTGTCCAAGACACCTTATGTGTGACTGCACTCATTACTGCCAGTCTTCCTAGCATTTGGTGTGTCCTGTAAGCCTGGATCTACTACGCTTACTGGTCATGTGTGTACTTGGACTACTGGGAAACATACATAGTGAATTACACCCTGCTGCTTCTCTTTACATTCATTTGCTTTACATTCATTGAAAGTAGGTGGCTTTTTCTTGTCGACTGTCACTAAATTTTTTATTTTTTTAATTAAAAAATTTTTTTTAATGTTTATTGTTTTTGAGAGAGAGAGAGAGAGAGACAGAGAGAGAGACAGAGAGCAGGGAAGGGGCAGAGAGAGAGGGAGACACAGAATCCGAAGCAGGCTCCAGGCTCTGAGCTGTCAGCACAGAGCCCAACGGGGCTTGAACTCACAGACCAAGAGATCATGACCTGAGCTGTAGTTGGCCACCCAACTGACTGACCCACCCAGGTGCTCCCTGTCACGGAATTTTTTAAAGAAAGCTTCATTATTTTAAATGACTGTAGTAAGATATTGGCTTGCCTAGATAAAACATTGACTTGTCACTTTGTACAAGTAATTTTTCTCAAAACACGTTCTTTCTGCTTCCTTTATTTTTTCTACTCTGAATAAACTTAGGCTGAGTTTTGGATGAAAATATCTCATCTCTATTGCAAAGCAAACCTTTTGCCTATGGCTGCTTTTCTTTTGTATCCTAAAGAACTAAGCCTTAACGTATTGTATGGACTGGAAACAAGCATTTAATTTTGTTTTGTTTTGTTTTTTGGTACTCAGGCTTTTACTTTATTACATGTGTGTGGTAATCTACAAAATACCATCGCTCTTGAAATAAGAAGTAATTAATTAAGAGAATAAAGTAAATGGTTTCCTAGCCAATGAAACACCACCTTTCATTTATTTCAATTATAATTTTTAAAAGGACTTAATAAATGCTTAATTTATCCTGGCGAGGTGTCATTCCCTCGTGTAAAAATAAGAAAGTCAAAAGGCTTGCCTACCGTACATTTAGTTCCTTCGCTCTTGCAAGATACATGTTTCTTTTTGCTTTTAACTCTTGACTAAATACCTCCCCAGTTTCTTTTCTGCTCCCTGCTCAGCCTCGTGTATGCCCTAAATTCTTGTTCTGCTGAGCTACTAAGTTAGTATTCTATGTTATCAGCATTGGACATTACATAATAAGAATGGTTATCATTATTGAATGCCCACTGTCTCATGTAAGCGTCCTCACATCTTCTGAGAAAGACGTTAATCCCATTTTGTAGATGAGGAAACTAAGGCATAGGGAGATTACATAGCTAGTAATGTTACAGCGAGTCTTATGACTGACAGTGTTTTGCTTTTCTGAGCCTGAGGTACATGCTATTTCCACTGTGATAAATAACCTTATCAAAGACTCTGAAGTTACCACTCCAGCTCTCGTTGGCTTCTGTTCCTTTAAATAGCGATACTCCTTTAGGACTTTGTCCTTGATCTGTTTCCCTTTTTCCTCTTACCTGCTCTTTTTGGTTGACCATATCTAAATTAGTAGCTCTACCTACCATATATTTACTGAGGACTCTAAAATGTGTTGTTTTTAGTGTGAACTTCTCTCCTAATGCATATAAACAAATGCCTGTGTCCTATATACATGCCCTTGGATATCCTATAGATGTCCCTTATACCCAGCATCTCCCAAACTGAAATCATCACCTCTATCCCTAAATTTACTCCTTTTCTTTTCTTCTCTCCCTCTGTTAGTACTAACACCAGTTGTCCATTCACTCAAAGCAGAAATCTCAATATATCATCCTGGACTACTACTTTTTTTCTGAACTCTGACATCCAGTGAGATCCAGAGGACTCAATCTCTAAGAACTTCTTGAATTTCTTTTTTTCTCTCAACTGTCCTGAGTCATTGATGTCATACATGTGCATATTGATTTTCAGGTACCTTTGAGAAACTTCAAGTGAAGGTATTAAGTGGAGATATCTTAGGAGCTTAAGAGAGAGTTCAGGACTGGAAGTCCAGATTTGAATCATCAGAACATAGATATCCATTCAAAGTGAGAGGATGAAATTAACCTTTGGAGCATATAGTAAGGAGGGAGCCAAGAACATGGCTTTAGTAAACAGTTTACAATACTTGGTAGAAGAGGAACCCAGGAGGGAACTTGCAGAGTGAAGAGTGTGTGATACAGTGTATCACTGTAGAGAGAGCCAGACTGTATATTTACCTTTTTCCCCAAAAGTACTTTCCTTCTCCACTTCTGTATCTTGGGTTCAGTTCTTCCTCTGCATTGAGGGCCATCTCTCTCTCTCTACCCACCTAAAGGATACCTGTCACTGGGGCACAACTCACATGCCGATGTTCCTGGAACATGTTTTCCATGTTCGATGTTTCGATGTTTTCTGATCCTCCAGCTGGATGGATTTCCCCTTCAATGTATTACTCAGAGTATGTTTGTGTGCCTCTCTTTCTGTACAGATTGCATGCTCTCATATATTATATTTGTGTATATTTTATATCCTTATAATATGTATTCTCAAGGTCACTTTAGCTCATCTCACAGAAACTATTATGGGTCTTTCCCCTGTGAACTCGGTGAAAATTTGAGAGGGTTGGTAAATCTAATCTCTCAGTACGACTAGGTGGGATTAGTGTTGCAAAATTCAGAGGAATACCTAATCTATTAAATATTCTGATTCAAAATAATCTATGTAGACTTATGTGAAAAATTTATGTTTAATATAAAGTGTAAGGCTAGAGTAACCTAGAATATGTTAATCCATGTAGATAAGGCATTTGATTTTTAGTTGGTCTAATATAAATCTGCAGTTTAATTTTTTAAAAGTTAGAGTAGTGTTAGGAACATCACCTGAATGCTTTAAGGAGGTAACAATATCAGAGTATTGTGGCCTGGGTGTATCAGGAGTAGAGATAACTCCAGACTACAACCTTTCAACCTTTAACACGGGAGTCAGATTACGCTATATTAGTGGTTTAGCTTTGCATGACGTGATGGAAAGAGATTCGAATTTGTAGTCAGAGGAACCGCATTCAAGTCTTAATCTTAGTTACTAGTTCTGAAACGTTAGGCTATTCTCTGAGCCCTGGTACTCTCATCTAAACTTTGTAAGTGTAATTATAGGTCTCATATGCAAGGTTTGTTAGGAAGGTTAAAGGAAGTACACAGGTGAAAAATACTTTATAAACTATGCAGTGCTAAACCATCCATGCTGGTTGTTACTATTGTCATTTTCTCTGGAATGGTTCCTGGTCATAATCTCTCATCTACTTGATACAGACCCTGATAGGCATAAATTCTCTCTTCATTGTGACTTAGCTGCCACCAGCCTGAGGAGGAACAATAAAGTGGGCAGAACGAAGCAGAACCTAATGACTGATGATAATAGTAACATAGATAGAAACGCTTTGTGTATGTATACTGCTTACAATTTTGGAAGTACTTTCATGAATTTATGCATGATTTTAGATAAAGGGTAAGGTGTAACAAAAACATTGGACATATCTTGCAGTAGCATATAGAATAATGAGATTGATTTTCCTGTGTGAGTAAAGAAACTGGGTCTGGAAAGAATCCAGAAATGTTTTAGTAGCATTGAGTAAAGCTTTTCTCATTGAGGTAAAAATTTATAAGGGCAAGAAAATGTATGGAAGGCAAGTTTATGTATCTTTCCTTAATGATGGGTTTATTTAATTGTAAAAGCTTCCCTCTAAATGAAGCATGCATTGGAAACAGTGATTTAAAAAATGTAGCTCAAACTTGAACATTCCCAAGGGAACTATTTTGAAGGTTAGAAATGTTTGTTGTAAGGTCAGTCTCATTTCAGATTCCATACAAAGCATTCAGTCCTCCAAAGTGGTGAGTAAAAAGCCAAGTCAGGAAGTTGCAATACCATATTAATCCGTATTTTATATCCCTAAGTTCTCCCAGAAGCCCCTTGGACAATTCTTAGCAATCTGTTGCTGTTGCTTGTGCCTTACTTTCTTGGAGTGATGAAGATATTCCTCTGTTTGCTCATTGGCTGCTATAATGACATCACAGGGATTTATGAATATTTTAAGATGTAAAAAAGCTCATAGTGGGCATTATGAACTCTACCATATTAAATATTATTTTGAGCTAGTGGTAGCTGAGTTATCCTGCTTCATTAACGGATGTTTAAAAAAGCTTAACGCTGTGTAGATTCATCGTTAATCATGTAATAGAACAATGCTTGTGATTATTTCTCTACAAAGTTTGACATCAGTAGCTTGGTCAGAAATACAGCGTCCTCTTATTCTATTATTTTTCTAAGAAATTATATTTCGAATACATTGCATTTCTCCTACAGTATTTTCCCTGTAAACATAATCAGGTCAGGAGTTTCTGGTATTCGATCTTCCAGATGTATTTTCGGAGGGATGTTGATAAATTAGACTGACCAGAAGCCCAGCAGATTGGGGAGGTGATCTAGAAACTATAAGATGACTGGTGTCTGTGGCCTGAGACATTTCCATTTGTTAACCACCATCACTATCACCCTTCAGCCACGACTCCAACTCCCACACAGAACTTTATCCAGCGGGGAGCTACCCTGCTCTTCTAAGGGCAAGTGTTTTCTCTGCCTCTTCAGTCCTTCCCACTTACTCTGCATCCCTTCCCCAGACTGGTATGTGGTCGGAAGCTTGGATTTGACCTCTGAGTTCTGTTTGAGTCACTGATTCTGTGATTTTTGAGCCCAGGTTAGAATAGCAATCAGAATTATTTTACTTGTGAAAAGATGAGAGCGCAGTTTTTAAAAGTGCACAATGTATGGTAAACTGTGGACTCTTTGCTTTTGCAGCCAAAGATGTGACTTATATATGTCCATTCACTGGTGCTGTACGAGGAACTCTGACTGTCACGAATTACAGGTTATATTTTAAAAGCATGGAACGGGTAAGACTGGTGGGACTAGATTTTTTACATGTACTTCTGTGTGTGGTTTGTAGTTTTGTCCATTTTTGATCATTTTTAATTAAAGCATTTCTAACTACGATCATTATATCAATTGTTCCGTTTTAATTGCTGTTTTCTTTCCTTCCTTTAGGATCCCCCATTTGTTTTAGATGCCTCTCTTGGTGTGATAAGTAGAGTAGAAAAAATTGGTGGTGCTTCTAGTCGAGGTGAAAATTCTTATGGACTAGAGACTGTGTGTAAGGTAAATGTTATAATATTTGTGCAACTTTTATTTGGTTTGAAAAGCTTTCTATTAAATAGAACCTGTGGGTAGAAACTGGTTTCCAAACTGTCAAATAGATTTCATACTGAAACATCATTCTAGAAGACAAAAACAACAATTAGGAGTAATAAAACGTACTCTCTCATGAATTAGGCTTGAATTCTTTTGGACCCAATACAGGTGACTTTGACATTGATTATTTCATGTTGAGCCTCAAAAAATCCCGAAGTAGGGATGATAGAAATGATTACCTTTAATTTACAGAAGCCTAGGGGTGAGCCTTCGTACTGGAAGAGCCAGCTCTGATGTATTCGTCATCACCTGTCGTTCCAGTCTCACAGTTTTTCTGCTTCTGAAAAAATGGTGTGAAAAACTTGACATTATAGACCTCCTCTATTTTCTTATCTAACTCCTGTCCTTTTTTTCCCCTTATGGTTGGCTCTTTTATTTTCGTCCCCGTATTTTCCTTTGCCATGAATGTTCTCTAACTCAGAGCATTTACCTATTATATTTATCTTTAAAAAAAAAAAATTTAATTCCAGTATTGTTAACATACAGTGTTGTATTTGTTTCAGATGGACAATACAGTGATGTAGCAGTTCCATATTTTACTCAGTGCTCATCATAAGTGTACTCTTAATCCCCTTCACCTGTTTTACACCCCCCCCCCCCCCCCCCCCCCCCCCGCCCGGTAACCAGGAGTTTGTTCTCCATAATTAAGAGCCTGTTTTTTGATTTGTTTCTCTCTATTTTTTTTTTTTTGTTCATTTATTTTGTTTCTTAAATTCCATATATGAGTGATATCATATGGTGTTTCTTTTAGCATTATACTCTCTGGATCCATCTAGGTTGTTGCAAATGGCAAGATCGCATTCATTTTTAACACTGAATAATATATACATGCACACATACACACACAACATACACACACACAACTCATCTTCTTTATCCATTCATCTACCAGTGGACACTTGGGCTGCTTCTGTGGTTTAGCTATTGTACAAAATGCTGCAGTAAACATAGGGGTGCATGTCCATTTGAACTAGTGTTTTTGTATTCTTTGGGTAAACACTCAGTAATACGATTATGATCTGAGGGTAGTTCTAGTTTTAATTTTTTGAGGAGCCTTCACACTGTCTTCACTGTGGCTGCACCAGTTTGCATTCCCACCAACAGTGCACGAGGGTTCCTTTTTCTCTGCATCCTCGTCAACACTTATTTCTTGAGTTTTTGATTTTAGTCATCCTGACAGGTGTGAGGTGATATCTCATTTTGGTTTTGATTTGCATTTCCCTGATGATGTCTAACTTGTATTTTTTAAATGCATTGATATTTGAATGAAACTTAGACTTTTAGATTTTCACCATTCCGTTCAGTCATAGATCTTTCATATCAGGTGCCACTTCTTTGGTTGCTGTTGCTGTTCTCAATGTGTGTCAATTCTAGATCGCCTTAATTTTTCTTTGGTTCTTCTGCCAGTGCCAAGAGTAAAAGCAAGTTCCTTTCTTATGCTACTCTTAGAACTTTTGTGTATCTAGTAATAAAAGTAATGACTTAATAATTATTTTTACGCTTTTCCACTGTTTTTTTTTTTTTAATTTAACATTTATTTATTATTGAGAGACAGAGAGACACAGAGCGTGAGCAGGGGAGGGGTAGAGAGAGGGGGAGACACAGAATCTGAAGTAGGCTCCAGGCTCTGAGCTGCCAGCACAGAGCCCCACATGGGGCTTGAGCTCACCAACTGTGAGATCATGACCTGAGCCGAAGTCAGCCACTTAACCGACTGAGCCACCCAGGCGCCTCTATGCTTTTCCACTGCAGTCAGAAGGGATCGAAGAATGCAGTAGCTTTCAACCATGCGTCAGGCATGTTTAGCTTTCAACCATGTGTCAGGCACGTTGTCTCCTGGTCACTTTTCTGTAATCTAACAGTAAATAGAGTAAATTTGTGGGCTCCCTGCTGTGGTACTTTTAGATAGCTGTATGGTTGACAGAGCGATTCTGAATATCTCTACTAGTGGTAAAGATTTTTACTGAAGAAAAACAAGGCATCAGCTTAGATTTCCATACATGTTTGTTTTATAATATGGTAGAACTAGTATCCTAGTTGTGGGTCAGATTTCTAATAAAATGTTCTATTCATTCATGTACTGCAAGTGCATTTGTAGTGTAGTCTCTGTATTCAGTTTTACAGGATTGGGTATAGTTTCAATTCTGCCTAGATCATAAAACACCTAGATAAAATGGGTTGTTTGAAAGTATTCTTAGTCCCCAAGTTTTTCTTAGTGCAGTTAAGATGCCAGTAAACCAGAACATGAATATCTGTGTTCAGCCCGAGCACAGAAAATTGCTTGAGGACAAATAACAGAAACAGGAGCCTCCTTGGTCTTTAGATCTGACTCTAGAGCCCACATGATATCAACCAAACAATTGAGAATTCACCTGTTAGGAGATGGTTAAAGAACTTGGACATGGAGTAGACAAGGAGATTTAGGCAGAGTTTGATTCTATCAGTCTAGTAGCAGGAAGCTTACAAAGATCCAATGAAAATGAGTCCTGGGAAGGGGTCATAAATAGGAAAGTCATCACTAGGCATAATGGGAATGAAGATACTTATGAAGTATAACAAGAGCTAATCAGGTTTTTAATAGGGAAATTGATGACAAAATGGGTTTTCACAGGGGAAGGACATACGTGAGCTGTGTATCAGTCATAGTAAATTTCAGATATAATATCTTTTATCTCTAGTGCCTGCATCAGATGCTGTTTCCTTTACTGGCTTATCTTGAGTAAATACACAGAAATAAAATTTCTGTCCTCTGAATAAAATGAAAGATATATAAGAACATTATGGAAAGTTATAAACATTATTAAAGAACTTTAAATAAATAGATGAGTAGGCACAATAGCCTGGAAATTAGAGTACCTTGTGGTTTTGAATATTTCTTTCAATAAGGCATTGTGATTTCCCTGTCTCCAGGAGCTCTTGTCCTATTTTTGTATCCCACATTCACAGGTCTTAACATTTTACAAGATAGTTCCCAGTTACCTTATGTGTTTGTTCAATAAAAGGTGAACAATTACAGATGACTTGGATCCTAAATCTTTTCTAGGATATTCGGAACTTACGGTTCGCTCATAAACCTGAAGGGCGGACAAGAAGATCCATATTTGAGAATCTAATGAAATATGCATTTCCTGTCTCTAATAACCTGGTAAGGTTTTTTTTTTTTTTTTCTTTATCTTAGAAAAGTGTGTATTATAATTTTTGGAGTACTATAAAGAAACTTGTCTAAGCTACCTAGAAACTACATTTACGATCCTACTTTGCCATTAAACCAAATGCATAATTTAGGTTTAACCTAATCTCTTGGAATAGTTCTTTTTTGGTATGAAATGAGGAAGCTGGAGTAGCTGATTTCTGAGGTCAGTGTCTGCCCACTGACATTCTATAATTATATGATCTTTCTATCCAGGGCATTCCCATGATGAAAAGCTGTCTGTGGTCTTCATTAGGATTTGAAATCTTTTTGTTTGTTTGTTTTTGTTTTTTGTATTTTGTTTTTGTTTTTGTTTTTGTTTTTTTGTTTTGTTTATTTATTTTGAGGGATGGAGAAGGGCAGAGAGAGAGAGTCCCAAGCAGGCTCTGCACTGTCAACACAGAGCTCAATACAGGGCTCGATATCACAAACTGTGAGATCATAATCTCAGCCAAAATCAAGTAGTCGGACGCTTGACCGACTGAGCCACCTAGGCGTCCCTGAAATCTTTTTTAATTAGGAGCTGAGAGTTAAGTCTACCAATTTTAGGAGGAAAGGGTGGACAAATACTTAGCTGAGCTCCTGCTATCTGCTAGTCATGATGTTAGGCTTCCTCATTTATGTTACATAATCCAGCTTCCATGGTGGGTGTAGCCCCAGGGTAGGTGGCAAATATTATTTATCCCTATTTTGGAGTTGAAGCCAGGAACAGGTAGGCAGTTACCTCAAGGGCACAGCTAGTAGGGAGTAATATTGGAATGAGTACTGGTCTTTTGACTCTCCTTTGAATGTTTTTCATCATAGTTGTTTCTGTCATTCTGTCTATTTAAATGATAAGTTTTCTTTTTTGGTATACCGATTGTATGCCAAGAAATAATACGTTCAGTATGTTTTAGAAAAGGTAGCATCAACTTTGGCTGCCTAACTGCTGACATCTGGGATGTCAAACCAATTAATTATATCAGAAGATGTCTTTTGTTATGTAAAGTCTTTCATTATTTAGAAGAAAACCTAAACAGCTGATATCTGAAGGAAATACGGTGATATGTTAGCATTTGATAAATCTTGGTGGTGGGCCTCTGTGCTTTTCTATATGTTTGAAAAATATGAAAAAAACAATATATTTTCAAAATTATAAAACAAGAGCTAAAACAGCAATATGAAATAGGACACCAATACAAAACATCCTTACAGATGAGTAAATGAAAACTTTGGGTATGATAAGGATATATTTCTGATTATCTCCTTAAATGTCTGTTTTTTTTTTTTTTTGTTTTTTGTTTTTTTTTAGCTATTAACTCTGTTTACTGTTTTGTAGCCTCTTTTTGCTTTTGAATACAAAGAAGTATTCCCTGAAAATGGGTGGAAGCTATATGACTCTCTTTTAGAGTATAGAAGGCAGGTATGTACTTTTTTTCTTTCAATTTTAATGTTACGGGTTATTTTCATTACAACACAAAGCTTAAAGGTAGACATAAACAGCTTTATGTAAGTTGTATGGGTTTTACTGTTGTTCTTTCAATGAAGCCTAATCCTGATTTCTTGTCTGCTTTCAGTTTCTTTAAACTGGGTTGAGACAGTGCCAAACTCTGTTTGAGACAGAGATCTTTTAGAAATCTTTTCTTGTCTACCTAAGAGCTTACAAGTAAATCAGCTTGTTTAAAAAGTGGTTAATAATGGTAAAAATTAAATGGTAAATATGTTTACATTTTGATATTCTTATATGCCATTCAACATTATTCACACATATTCTTCTCTTTTGGATATCCTATAACATAATTCTAAAAACTTTTATAGTAGTTCTCCTTACATCTTAGCTCCCCATGAAATTTTAGAAGTTTTAGATCTTCATAGAGGACACACGTCTACATAAAATGTTAACAAATCAAATGTGATAGTATACCAAAGAGATAATACATCGTGACTAAGATGAGTTGGTTTAATATTAGAAAACCTGTTGGTGGGATTCACCACAGCAAAAGATGAAAGCAGAATTCAGTCTGGAAATGTCTGGAAATCTGCAGCACAGTCTATCATTCTCCCTCTTCTTTCTCGACCCGCCACTTCCCAGAGCCCTTAAACTGACATTTAAACTCTCCCTACAATAGTCTTTATTTTTAACTTTGCCCATGTTCACTGTGCTTTCTTGAGAATTTAAGTTCAGAGACATTGATTGTTTCTTTGGTAATCATTAGATCTGATACCCAGTTTTTCTAGAATTCAGATATGAAAATAAACTGATTTTGTCTTTAGATTTCAAACATTTCATTTGAATTATAAAGCTTCCAATTGACTGAAGTGTGTTTCACAAAGCAAGGAGAGTAAAAACCCGTCACACCACTAGAGAACTAAAGATACCCAGTGGTTTGAAGCGCAGTTTGTTGCTCAGTAGCATGTGGCCAGTAAAATCGAAAATTTCTTATTCAGTTATAAAGCCAGCAGCTTGGCAGAGTATGAAGCAGAATACACAATAAATGGATCAATTAAAAATCAAGAGTCTACAAGTAACATTGCAAGATATTTGCTACTTCAAAAAGTCAGTGTCAGAACTGGGTGGGAAAGCAACCAGAAAATCCAACCAATGTCCTTGGAATGGTCAAAATGAGGAATATTCTGTGGGGATCTGGGCAGAAATTGCCATCTGTTCTAGTAGCATTCAACATAGAACTTTGGAAAGCAGGTGGGAGACCTGTGGCTACAGAAAAGAAATGTTATTAACAGAAAAAAATAAGTTAAAGAGTAAATGAACAGTTATACCCTAATTATAAGATGAGGAAGTGTGGCAGTCAGAATAGAGTCTCTACATTAAATGATATAGATGCTTTATGATCTTTGACTTACTGGGTGAATTTTTGACTTTTTTTTTTTTTTTTTTTTTTTTTTTTTTCTTAAAGAGTTAGATACTTTGTCTCTGAGTCAACTAAGCCAAATCATACTATAAATAACACTGCATTTTTTGTAGTTAGAAGATTCAGGTTTTGGGGTTTATTTTGGTGTATATTAAGTTTATGATAGGAGAAAATGAAAATAATACTTTAATAGAAACCTTAAGACTAAAGATGAAACATCAGAGTATTCCTTTTCAATTAAAAAAGATTTAAAGTGGTAACCCTTGCACCCTGCATAGAATTCAAAAGTACAAAAGGGTCTATTGAAAGGTAGGTTTCCCTTCCAGGACAGCCTTGTCCTCAGCCACCCCAGCTTCTCTCCCATTAGGAAATAAAGTTACTGGTTGCCTGTGTATTCTCTCAGAGATCTTATGCCTGCAAAGCCTGAGTATATGTGTGCATTATTTTTTTAAGCAGATAACAGCTTACTGTGCACACCGTTCTGTACCTTTCTTTTTCACTTAATGTGTTTTGGAGATCATACCATCTCAGAACACACAGACCTCCCTGTTCTTTTTTTCTTTCAAGTTGAGGTATAATTTATATTCCATAAAATTTACCACTTTAAAGTGTACAGTCCACTGTTTTTTAAACTTGTTTTTTAATATTTATTTATTTATGTATGTATGTATGTATGTATGTATTTATTTATTTTAAATTTTTTTTTTCAACGTTTATTTATTTTTGGGACAGAGAGAGACAGAGCATGAACGGGGGAGGGGCAGAGAGAGAGGGAGACACAGAATCGGAAACAGGCTCCAGGCTCTGAGCCATCAGCCCAGAGCCTGACGCGGGGCTCGAACTCACGGACCGCGAGATCGTGACCTGGCTGAAGTCGGACGCTTAACCGACTGCGCCACCCAGGCGCCCCATGTATTTATTTATTTTAGAGAAAGAATGTGAGCAGGGGAGGGACAGAGAGAGAGGGAGACACAAAATCTGAAAGCAGGCTCCAGGCTCTGAGCTGTCAGCACAGAGCCTGATGCGGGGCTTGAACTCACAAACCACGAAACCGTGACTGAGCCGAAATCAAGAGAGAGTCAGACGCTTAACCGACTGAGCCACTCAGGCGTCCCTCCATTGGTTTTTAGCATATGCCTAGAGGTGTACAACTATTACCACGAAATCCAGAGCATTTAGAAGACTGAGTTTGAATCCTATCTCTAGCTCTTACTTTGCCCTCACTCTTAGGTATGTGCTCTTGAATGAGTCATTCATGTCAGAGTGCTTTTATTTTTTACTTGGTCATAGGAACTCATTCATAGGAATGTCTGAAGGATTGTTAATATACAGGAAGATATTTTATGAATCAAAGAAATCTATTCAAATGATTATTATTGTATTTATTACATTGTAAAGCTTTAAAAAAAGAAATCATGACTGCTTAGATTCATTGTGTGCAGCTGCTAAAACATGAAAGAAAAGCCACATTAATTCTGTAGACCTATACATTATAGTGCTAATCATACATTATTTTTAATGGATAAACCTATTAACAACTGTTTAAACTTGTTACATAAGAGGATGTTTCTTTAGTTTACTCTTTTTTTTTTTAAGTTTATTTATTTTGAGAGAGAGAGTGAGCATGAGCAGGGCAGGAGCAGAGAAAACAGGCAGGAGAGAGAGAATCCCAAGGAAGCTCTATGCTGTCAGTGCAGAGCCTGATGTGGGGCTCAATCTCATGAATCAAGAGATCATGACCTGAGCCAAAATCAAGAGTTGGACACTTAACCACCTGAGCCAGCCAGGCACCCCTCTTTAATTTACTCTTTTTAAAAAAATATTTGTTATGCTAAGTGAAATAAGTCATACAGAGAAAGACAGATACCATATGTTTTCACTCTTATGTTGATCCTGAGAAACTTAACAGAAGACCATGGGGGAGGGGAAGGAAAAAAAAAAGGTTGGAGAGGGAGGGAGCCAAAACCATAAGAGACTCTTAAAAACTGAGAACAAACTGAGGGTTGATGGGGGGTGGGAGGGTGGGTGACGGGTATTAAGGAGGGCACCTGTTGGGATGAGCACTGAGTGTTGTATGGAAACCAATTTGACAATAAATTTTGTATAAATAAATAAATACTTATTTTTAAGAGAGAGAATGCATGAACAGGGGAGGGGCAGAGAGAGAGGGAAACAGGATCTGAAGCAGGCTCTGCACTGACAGCAGACAGCCCGACGTGACTCAAATTAACAAACCAAGACATCATGACCTGAGCTGAAGTCGGATGCTTAACCAGCTAAGCCACCCTGATAAATGGGAACATTAACTGAAGGGCAGTGATTTGCAAGGAGAGTATAAACGTATGCCAAAATCAATACTTGTCGGTATGTCTTTAGTACTGTCTACAAAGAGTGTATGCTGACTAGCCAACGCCACTTTTTGGTTTGGAAGCGAATTCCTGTGGTGGAGATAGGTGTGTCAACTTATCTAAGAATGAGGAAGACTATAGTCATAAATGTAATGAATGTAACATAAGTAATGTAAGTCAGTGGTTCAACCCCCACTCTGACAATTTCCTGAAGCATGTTACGTATTGGTAACAGTCATTGTCCGTGGGAGTGGTTTTCTTTAAGGATGTGTGAAGGGATTGACAGATGGGAGTACCTACCTGGGTTGGGAGTGGTACATTAGGATCTCAGGTGATGTATGCTTTTAGGTGATCCAACCCTCTTAGCTCTCAATCCATATTTTCTAAGAAAACTTCAAAAGCCAATTTTGCTTCTTACGAAGGCTTCCTTTTGGTTCATTGATTTATCCGTTAATACATTCCTTCCTTCCTTCACTCATTCATCCATCCATTTATCAAATTTATACAGCACTACTATATACTAGTGGCTAAGTCTTTGAAACAGGAAGATACAATCCTGACTTGCAAAGAGCATATATTTAATGGAGGATTCAAAGAAGTAAACTAACAATTAAAGCACACAGTGATGAATACAGTGACTGATAAAGCAGGTACTCCAGTGAGAGAATATGAGGCCATTTGGGAACTAAAAGCATTTGGTACAGGCTAGACTAGAGTTTGGAGGAGCAAGACATCAGTGTGGAGAAAGTGGGAGGATGAAGGCCTTTGCTAAGTCCCATAAAGGAATTTCTTTTACAGTTTTATTGAGAAATAATTGACATACATCACCATACAAGTTTAAAGTGCACAGCATGATGGTTTGATTTACACATATTATGACATGATTACCAGAATAGGTTCAGCTAACATCCATCTTGTCACAATAGACAGAATAAAAAAAAAAAAAAAAAAAAAAAAAAAAAGGAGAAAGAAAAAAGGGGAAATTTTTTTTTTCTTATGAGGAGAATGTATTGGATTTACTCTCAGCAACTTTCCTTGTATATCATACAGCAGTGTTAGCTGTAGTCGTCATGTTGTACATTACGTCCCTAGTATTTATCTCCCTTGTAATGGAAGTTTTACCTTTTTACCACCTGACCGCTTTCCTTCAGTTTCCCTTCCTCCACCCTGTGGCTCTGGAAACCACAAGTCTGTTCTCTTTTTCT